CGGCGCGAAGAACGGCGATTGCGACGCCTGCGGGGCTGGCGGCAAGTGCTGTCGCATCGGCTATGCAGGAGGCGGCTGCGACGGGAGCTCCATGGGCATCGACGGGTATCACACGTGCGTGACCGATCAGACGACGACGACGACGCCCGCGCCGACGCCCAAGCCCAGCGCCAAGCCCAGCGCCAAGCCCAGCGCCAAGCCCAGCGCCAAGCCCAGCGCCAAGCCTACGAACAAGCCCTCCATGGGTAGCATTTGCTTGGATGAGTGTTCCCAGGACCGCGTCCTACCGTGGTCGAAGCTTTGCACAATGGGTGTCTGCTCCGGGTGCGCCCAGTGCGACCCGTCCAAGAAGGTTGCCGCAGCCGAGCGCGCCAAGTGCCTGGCAAGTGAAGCGGCAGACTGGGAGTGCGGGTCCGACGGTTGCCGTGCAAAAAATTCCGATTGCTGCGACAGGTTTTATGAAAACTGCGACAAGTGCTGCGACAAGTGCTGCGCGGACATCACGGGTGTGTGCGTCACCGCATGGAAAGATATGCACACTCTCAGCCACGACGACGACTGCGTGCTCCTCAAACGCTGGAACTCCAGATACGACAACCTCCGTATCGACGCAACCTCCCCGCGTCTGAAACGTCCCTGGCTCTTCTTCGCCTCAGCGCGCGCGTAGGGCTACGGCGGCGACGACGCGATCGTCGTCCAGGGCGACAAGAACCGCATCGAAGTCAGCGTCTCCCGCGTCCGTCCGGGATCCCCATCCGTCGTCGCCTCGTCCGCGCGCGCGCGGCCAAACGCTCGCGTCGACGCTTTGCGCGCGCGTAGGGCGGCTACGGCAATGACGCGATCGTCGTAGAGGGCTTCGACAACACCCTCGAAGTCAGCGTCTCCCGCGTCCGTCCAGGATCCCCGTCCGTCGTCGCCTCGTCCGCGCGCGCGCAGCCCGACGCTCGCGTCGACCCTTCACGCGCGCGTAGGGAAACGAGGGCGACGACACGCTCTACGTCTCGGGGAACTTCAACTACCTCTACGTCAGCGTCTCCCGCGTCCATCCGGGATCCCTGTCCGTCCTCGCCTCGTCCGCGCACGGCCCGACGCTCGCGTTGACGCGTCGCTCGCACGCAGGGAGAGAATTATGTTCATCCATATTGGCGGGATAATACGGGCGGCGACGACACGCTCACCGTCGTCGAGGGCGACTTCAACACCCTCTACGTCAGCGTCTCCCGCGTCCATCCGTTATCCCCATCCGTCGTCGCCTCGTCCGCGCGCGCGCTGCCCGACGCTCGCGTCGACGCGTTGCTCGCGCGCAGGGCGGCGGGGGCGACGACAAGCTCACCGTCGAGTCCGGCAACAAGAACTTCCTCTACGTCAGCGTCTCCCGCGTCCATCCGGGATCCCCGTCCGTCGTCGCCTCGTCCGCGCGCGCGGCCCGACGCTCGCGTCGACGCTTCGCGCACGCGTAGGGCGACCACGGCGACGACACGCTCAAGGTCGTCAAGGGCGGCGGCAACGCCCTCTCCGTCAGCGTCTCCCGCGTCCATCATCCGGAACTATCGCCGCGTTTCTCGACATGTTCTTCGTAGGGCGGCCCCGGCACGGACACCTTCTCCCGGCCGGGCGGGAACACGAAAGACTCCGGGAAGGACGACAAAGGCAACGAGGTCCGCCACTCCTCCACGCCGCTCATCGTCGGCCTCTGCGTCGGCGCGGCCGTCCTCGTCCTCGTCCTCGCCGTCGTCGTCCGCAAGCTCCGCGGCCGCGCCGCGGAGGAGACGTCGACGCCGCAGCTCGACGCGGAGGTCCAGGTCGAGGCCTGAGGTAGCGCGAACCAAGAAGGCGCGATCGAGCCCTGGGAGCGCGCCCGACGACGAGTTCGTCGAAAGCCAGGACGCAAGAAGACGGCCCCGAGATCCCCCGCGCGCCCCGCGGGGGATCCAGACGGTCCGCCGCCGCCGCCGCCGCCCCTCCCCCCAGGGCGGCCGCCGCCGCGGTGGACGTAAGGGCATTCGTGTGACGTTGGCACGCCCGTCGACCGCGTCCCCGAGCGCGCCGTCGCCCCCGGCCGCGGCGGGAGGCGCGGGAGCTTCTTTAGAAGCGGGGTCGACGTCGTCTTAGGCCTGGCGCTTCGCGCCGCTCTCCGGGAGCGCGCCGGCCTTGCGCTTGGCCTTGCGGTTCCCCGGCGGCGCGACGGCCGCGTCCTCGGACGGCCAGTCGATGTCGTCGACCTCGCCGCCGTCGACGTAGCGCACGGAGAGCGCGAGGCCGTCGCCGCGGGGCTCGGAGCTCTCGACGACGGCGTCGTACCAGACCGCGGCGCCGTCGTCGAGCCACTTGACGACGACGCTCGCGCCGACGGGGTCCTCGGGCAGGTCGTCGAAGTCCGGGTCGTCGTGGCGGAGCGCCTCGCGGCAGTGCCGCGCGCCGAGGGACCCGCCGAGCAGGCACCGCGCGCAGGGCCGCCGCCGCCGCGGCGCGGCGTCGCGGCCCGGCGCCCGGGGCAGCAGGAGGAGCACGTGGGCCCGGAAGGCGGGCTCCCCGTCGCCGTCTTGGCTTTCGAGGAACGCGGCCGGACCGAGCCGGATCTCGTTCGCGGCCCGGAGCTCGTCGCCCGCGCCGCCGCAGAGCGCCGCGGCGACGGACGCGAGCGTGTCGCCGGCGCGCGTGTCGTACCACCAGTGGCCCTCGTCGTCCTCCTCGACCTCCCCACCGCACAGGCCCGTGCGGTCGTCGACGAGCCACGTCGGCGGCGTCGCGCGGTCGCGCCAGCGCACGTGGTCGCCGCCGCCGACGGCGCGCAGGAGCTCGGCGACCGTGACCGCGCGCTCCCTCGCGGGCTCGCCGCCGCCCTCGGCGTCCCTCAACACCGCGAGCGCGACGTCGTGGCGGGGCCCCTCGTCGCGGCAGACGTAGACGCGGTCCACGCGGGCCCGCGCGACGCGGCCCGCGGCGACGACCTCCATGACGCGGCCGGCGACGCGCTCCTCGTCCGCGAGCTCGCGGAAGCCGTCGACGAACGCGAGCGCCGCGTCCGGGTAGGCCGCGGTGACCACGCCGCCGCCGGCGACGTCGACGAGGTCGAGCGTCGCGTCGCCGCGGGCCGCCACCGTCGCGGGCCGCCACTCGACGGCGCCGTCCGGCGCGACGACGCGGCGCTTCACGCGGCTCCCCAGAAGCTCCGCGGGCGGCGCGTCGAAGGGCCGCGCGCCGTGGCCGCCTGGGCAGCAAAAGGGTGATTCAACGTCGCTTCAAGAGTGTTCCGCGCGCGCGCGTTCCAGAAAAAGCATCCATGCTTCGAGACCGTTCCGAGAGATGATCGCTCGTCCAAAAATCAGCCGAAACGAGTGGAAAACGGCCGAGATATGAGCCTTTGAAGTTGGGAATTTCGCACCCTTTTGCTGCCCTGGTGGCCGCGGTCCGCGCGGCAGGGGAAGGCCCGCAGCTCCCCGAGGCACCGGCAGGCCGCGCAGGGCCCGTCGAGGCGCGGCGGCGCGAGGAGCCAGCCGTCGCGGGGCCCCACGGCGCCGCCGAGGCCGTTCAACGCCGCGAAGCGTTTCGGGTCCGCGTCGAGCGCGCGCGCGCCGTCGTCCGCGTCGACGTCGCCGGCGCCCAACGACCGCAGGAGCTGCGCGGCGCAGGCCCAGCGGCGGCCCGACGCCTCCCGGAAGACCTCCAGCGCGTCCCCCGCCGGCGGCGGCCAGTCCGGCGGCGCGACGCCCAGCGCGCGCGGCGGCCCGCCCGCGTGCGCCGCGCGGGGCCAGGGCGCCGCCGGGGGCAGGAGCAGGACCTCGCCGTCGCCCAACACCGGGCCCGGGAGCCCCGCGTCGCTCCACTCGAGCTGCGCGAGCCAGAGCAGGTCCGCGAGCGCGGAGCCCGTGTCCTCGAGCACGCCGCGCCACTCCGCGCCCGGCGCGCCGAGCCGCGGCGTTTCCGCCGCGGCCGGGGCGCGCGCGCGCCCGCGAGCTTCGCGGCGACCGTCGCGAGCGTCTCGCCCGCGCGCGCGACGTACGCGCAGCGGCCCCCCGGGAGCGCGAGCAGGTCGCCGGGCGCCGCGGGCTCCGGCGCCGCGCGCGCGGCGCGCCGGCCCGGCGCGCCGGGCAACAGCACGGCGTAGCCCGCGGGGAGGCCGCCGCCGCGGCCCTCGCCGGGCGCGGCCTCGGACGCCTCGGAGTTGGCCGCGGACACCGCGCGCTCCCGGAGGTCGTCGGGCGGCGGCGCCGCCGGCGCGCCGCCGCCGTCGCCGGGGTCGTCGTCGTCGTCCTCGGCGACGAATTTCGCCTCGAAGTCCGCGCCGGACGTCGCGGGCGACACGCGCTTGTTGACCAGGGCACTGAGCACGTAGGACGTGAGGCCCGGCGTCGCGCGGAGCGCGTCTTTGCAGCTCGCGAAGCGCTGCCAGTCCGACCCGGGCCGGCCGCCGGCGGGCGCGCGGCGCACGAGCACGGGCTTGCGCCCGTAGCGGTCCCGCTTCTTCCGCGGCGCGGCGCCGGGGCCGTCGCCGCCCGCGCGCGGCGCCTCGCGCGCGCCCGCGGCGCGCGCGACGGCGTCGGCGACGGCGCGCCGGCCCGGCGCCGCCGCGCAGCCGCGGCCCGCGGCGTCGGCCCAGGCGCCGGGCGTCGGGGCGACCAGATGCGCGTCGACGGCGGCGAGCTGGAGCTCGTCGGCGC